CCTATACCCTATCCCCCTAAACCCTAATCCCCTTTACCCTAAAACCCTATGCTCTAAATTCTGTATGTAAAATGGACAATGTATCTTCAACTAGAATGTGGAAGCAGCGAGGAAAGGAACAACCCTGTTAGTCCAAAGAAATTTCAAGGAGATCTGGGGGGTTGGAGAATTTACCTTTAGAACGATTCAAGACTTTGACTCCTACTCGGCCATCCCACGGAAAAAACGCGGTTATCACCTTACGGGGCTATCACAGGATCTACCAGATGACATCAGACGTAAAATTGGTAGGACTTGGGCCACTGACCCTGAAAAGACTTCCGAAATTGCCGAAATACCCAGGGGAATATGTGTCGAAGGATGCCTGGGAAAATTTCGTTTGACGGATAGGCCCGTCTTGGATCGAATGGGGGAAAAGGAAAACATACTGCGGAAGGGAGTAATGGGAAAATACTAAAATAGGTTTTCGAGGGATATCGGGTAAGGAGAGAGTAAGAAAATCCTACTGAGCGATTTGTACGTATCAGAAACACAAGCATCTGTCGAAAGTCCGACACGAGATACCGAGCGCGATTTCGTATTTATCAGGCTAGAAGCCCTTGGGAAAACTAAAGCCCGGGCATGCGGAATCGACTAAATCTCTCTGGCTATCGAAATTAGGTACTTCGCGACAAGCTCCGGGCAGTTAGTGGGAAAGCCAGGGGTTATAGTTTGGCAGAGTTTTCCGTGTAATTCGAAGATATTCTGATAAAACTAGCTATAAAGGACTTAGGAGTTTTCAAGATTGACTGTACTTCCTTGGAGGATAGCTGGGGAAGGGGAAAAAAAAAAAAAAAAAAAAAAAAAAAGGGCGGCTGCCACTCTCCTCGGAGAGATTTGCTGGGATTTCTGAAAATTTGGATAGCGATAAAAGCACAGAGCGGATCTTAGTCGTCTTTTCACAGGACTCCAGAAATCTTAAAAAATCCTCTAAAAAATGTTTAAAAATCTCTAAAAGATCCTCCTTACTGATCTGCCAGGAGAATAGTAAGGAGGATTTTTTATTTTTTTTAGAGATTTTTTGGAAATATTGCTCCCCACCAATAGATGGACCGGCGACCAGAAGGCCTACTAGGGAGGGCTGCTCTTATCAACCTCCCCCCTACCCTCCCCCACACCCCCCAACCCCACATCAGACCTGCTCAGGCCTTAGAAAGAAAAAACAATTTTTTTGATTTTTTGGAATTATCGGCACTCCCTCGGAGGCTCTAATAGAAACGCGGGACTAAGCCAGGACGGGGAACTTGTCGGATACTTTGCAGTGAAGTTTTCATCGGAGGAATTACCTCAGTTAGTATTTATTAGCGAAGTAGAACTTACCCCGCACCTAGGAGTTGCTTTCTCCCTCCTGATGAGCCTGGATTCTGGCTCCGGCTACTACCGTACGCTAGTGGGCGGTGGTGGTTTGAGCTCCACCATATCTTACGCTATGGCGCGACTCTTGATTTCTCCTTCCTATCCTTCGACGAGTTAACTTGGAGTCACTTTGGGATCAAAGCGTGTCCTAATTCCGGGTTACGCATTTCTAGCATGACGCCGCCTTGCATACGGCATGCGCTTGTGGAGTGCGTTTGCTGACGTCAGCCCTGTGCGGCATTTGCTGATGTCAGTACTGTGCTGCGTTTGCTGATGTCAGCCCTGTGCTGATACCGGCTCGTCGTTCTCTTCGAATTTCAATTTCAATTTCAATTCAGTAGAATGTCGAAAGATAGACCGGCTGTAGTTTTCGTCCTTTTCGCATTGGGTGAATGGCGTGTGGAGGGCCATATTCCGTCGATCCGCGTGTGGCCACTTATGCGGGTTGGCTTCGCTGTCGTGTGTACTCTGTTTTGCCCCCCCCCCGCCCCCTCTAATTTTTGGAGTTTGTGTGTGCGTGTAAGGTGCAGCTACTGGCAAAGTTTCTGGTCTTTGCATTAGCCAGGCCCACCCTATTCCCTGACCACCGTTGAAAAAGGCGGGGGCCAACATGTATCCCCTTAATTGTGAGAGGGCAGCTATGCCGGCAGGGGTCCCCTGTATAGGAGTAGTAGTAGTGGTAGGTGTGTAGTGAAAGGTGAAATAGAGAAGGGTATAACTTATTTTTAAAAAGAAAAAGTGTGGATAACGAGCTGTGGGCATCAATTGGAATTGGAACGATACTAGACAAGATCAGTTTAACACTGCGTAGCACGACGAACGTGTTCGCACCCCTCCCATGTTCGCGCGAACATGTTCGTGCGAACAGGTCGCGAACGTATATTTTTTTCGTAAAAAAAATAAAAAAATAAAAAAATTGTTTTCGTTTTTTGATTTTTAACTCATGATTGGCTGAGAATTTGAACATGACTCCAAGGCAAAAGTTGCTTGTTTTATTATTTTACATAACACATATTTTTTTCAGAATTTTTTGAGAACTTTTTTTTTTTTTTTTTATAAATATTTTTTATGTTCGCGTTCGGAGGGTTTTGGGCGCTTGTTCGCGTTCGGGCGAACATGTTCGCGTTCTCCTCCGAACGCGAACATGGTGCTACGTAGGTTTAACATTTGTTTAAAAACAAATGAATAAAATAAAATAAAAAATAAAACAAGGCTAAGAATTTAAATAACTTCAATAAGAATAAAATGAAATGAAAAACGATTTTTTTTTTTAATAAAATAATATAAAATAAGATAACATGAAAAATTAAAACGATAAAAAAAAAATAATTAAAATTTAAAATAAATAAATCGGAACGATACAAAGAAGATAAGCATGGTCCCTAGGAAAGAGTGACTCACACGGGATAGGGAAAAAAAAAAAAAAGCAGTTAGTGGAAGTGTCTGACATTGATGCGGCTTCATTCCTTCTCTTTTCTTTTTTTTTTTTTTCTTTTTTTTTTTCTTTTTTTTTTTTTTTTTTTTTTTTTTTTTTTTTTTTTCTTTTTTTTTTTTTTCCCCCGGGGGTTAGGTTTCTTTTTTTTTTTGGCGATTCTTTTTTGAAAATTTTGGCGTTTCTTTTTTGAATGGCAGGTTGTCATTTCTTTTCTTTTCTTTTCTTTTCTTCCCTTCCCCCCCCCCCCGGGCGTTAGGTTTCTTTTCTTTTTTGGCGATTCTTTGTTGAATGGCAGGTTGAAATAACAAGCATGACTTGGAGTCTGTGCTGATGACTTTTTTCTTTTTTGGTGATTCTTTTTTGAATGGCAGGTTGAAATGAACAAGCATGACTTGGAGGCTGTGCCGATGACTGCAACTCCAGACAGGCGGCATTTAGCCTTGGCTGTGCCTGACCTGATGGAAAGACGACCATCTGTTCGCGTTGCCGATGTAGTGGAAGTCACCTACAGTAGCAGTGCGCAATCGGAATCGGGCATGCCGGTCCCTAATGGGGTCAAGTATCGAGTGAGTACAACTCAATGGCGCGCCTACGACCCCCGGTCTGTCCCAATTTTCAACCTTTGTTGTCAGATGTTTCCTTTGTGTTTGGATGCTTCCTTCGTTTTTCGAAAGCCGTAGCGTTTTTCGGTCATGCATTGCGTGGGAGGTACATCATGTTTCTGATTATATTTGTGGTGGTGAAAGGGCGGGGATGACTGGGACTACTGCCCAGAGAGAGAGAGAGAGAGAGAGATGAAATTTATCAGCATTCATAATATTAATATTCATATATATATCTTATTGATTTTTATTTTGTACTGATAGATATCGAAAGAAAATGACACATTCTCTCTCTCTCTACGGGGTTCCCCGTAATACTGTAATCATATATAATCATTATAGTATGATTACACTATGATTACAGTATTACGGGGAACCCCGTAGAGAGAGAGAGAGAGAGAGAGAGAGAGAGAGAGAGAGAGAGAGAGAAGAAAACGTGCGCTGACACTATCGGACCGAAGAAACCGCCCTTATCAACGGGCAACATAGATCCGGAAGCGGGGCGACATGCACAAAGGACAAATAATATGGCGGTGTATCTTTCCATGTTCTGGCGGAAGATTGATTCATTCGTTGGGTGGTGGAGAGCGAAGGGCCGATGAATCAGGTAAACACGTAACGTATCTCTGGAAGCTTTCTTTCTTTTTTTTTGGAGAATCTCTGTAC